AGTGAGTACAGATGTGTCAGTGAGTACAGATGTGTCAGTGAGTACAGATGTGTTTTTAGGAGAGATTTAAAAGTAGAGACTGAGGTGGCCTGTCGAATGTTGATGGGCAGATTGTTCCAGAGTTTAGGGCCCACGACTGAAAACACTCGATCTCCTCTGAGCTTCAGCTGGTTCTTGGTACGGCCAAAAGCAGCTGGTCTGATGATCTTAAGGCCCGAGAAGGAGCATAAGGCTGAAGAAGGTCAGAGAGGTATGATGGTGCAAGGCCGTTAATGCACTTGAATGTCAGCAGGAGAATTTTAAAATCAACTCTGACACGTACAGGAAGCCAGTGAAGAGAGGACAGAACCGGAGTAATGTGCTCAAACCTGTGAGTTCCTGTTAGTAGCTGAGCTGCAGCATTTTGTACGAGCTGGAGACGTGAAAGTGAAGCCTGACTGACCCCAACATAAAGTGAGTTACAGTAGTCCAGCCAGGTTGTAATAAATGCATGGACTAGTTTTTCAAGGTCGGATGTGGACAGAACGGACTTGAGCTTTGCTATCTGCCTGAGCTGAAAGAAGGTTTGTTGAAGAACAGTTGATCTGTTTATTCAAGTTCCACATCTAAAACTGTCCCAGGATCGGTAACAGACAGTTTAGGTGTGGCTGAAGGGAGTCCAGTTTGCAGGATCAGACAGAGCTGGGGTTAAACACAATGACCTCAGTTAGCATCTTATCTTAGCAGTAACTGTGTGTTCAGGTGCATTCAAGTTTAAACGTATTTAAAACCCCACACCTTATTGTCCTCAGTAACATTTTCAGTTTTGTATTTTCAGTGTCCAGAAACAAATAAATTCAAAAAAATGACCACAATTATCATTATATATTATTATTACAAGGCGGGCAATGACTCGCACACAAATTGTCCCACAAGAGCTGTCAATCAAAATGAATGACTAAAACATAAGGCCTCATACACTCAGCACTACAATGTACATAAAGCACATTACTGAAAATAATAATTAGACTTGCAGGTCATGCTGCTTTGACACTCACTACAAAGATCAACGTCAGGACCTTCATTTCATTTCAGTTTATAGATATACTTTTTTAAAGATTTTTATACCACCATAGTACAATTTAAGACAGTGTCATGCTTTTATTACTTCATCTTATGCTTATGTTGAATAAATGTTTTGATGTTAAATGGTTATTGTTGCACCGGGGTCTGACTGAAATGTAATTTCAATCCTGTGTGTCCTGTCCATGCTGCAGCTTTTCACAATAAAGTGACTTTGATGATGAATATCTCTGAGGCAGAAGCAGGAATCAGTTTTCTGTTATCTGCTCTGGACAGATATCTCATTTAAACACATTTTATTTTCCATAAGGGAGCACAAATAATTAGATTTAAGTTTTGATTAGTTCTAATACTTGCGAGTAGTGATGGGTCTGGTGACACTGATGTGTTGAGCTCACAGAACAAAGCCTGTGGTGGGACGCTCATCACGAGTCTGTCTGGCTGCTGTAGGGATGGTCAAGTCCCAGCAGGCATCAGTACGCAGTGGCGATACAGGATCAATAGTTTGGCAATGTGTTGAACGCTTCATGACACCTCATCTACCCATCACTAGTGACAAGCAAACTTTTGACTCGATGACGTCACCGGCTTCCAGCACCTCCGCGCTGACACGTCGGAGCGGCAGGAGCAGACGTAGATTTATTCCATTTTACTGGATTTTTGTCAACCCCATAAACGACGCACCCACCCAGGTACACCAAGAACACGAGGGTTCAACGGCCTCAGACTTCTTTTAATGGCGTGCACGCTCTCAGTCTGGAAAGAAACCGCCATCTTTAAAAAACAGGACAGGAACCGATTTGAACAGCTGACAAATCAAGTGAGTCTATGAGAGACAGGTGCGTCTTCAGGTGAAACAACGGGGCTGAGGGAGAGAGAGTCAGCCAGCAGGCGCCAACAACCTCCATTACAAATTTAATTTTATTAAACACAATATTCATCAAACATTAAATCATGCACAAGAACTACTTTCAATGTAAATACAAAACCTGCTGTGACTGGTAAGGCCACGCCTCCCAGAACACAAAGCATCGGTTCTCTAGAGATATGAGTCCTCAGAAGTCCAGACTCGTGCTGGCCTACTCTTTAGCTGTTATCAGCTGATAAACGCTGGTGCTGGCCTACTCTTTAGCTGTTATCAGCTGATAAACGCTGGTGCTGGCCTACTCTTTAGCTGTCATCAGCTGATAAACATTGGTGCTGGCCTACTCTTTAGCTGTTATCAG